TTAATTACAAATACTGCAAGAGTAAACGGCAGACGCGCGACATACAGTCAGCAAGGAACATCCGCCAACTAGCCGAGGAAAGACTGGAAATAACAGCTATATGGTCATTTTTTGGGGAGGCGAAACGTGGAGGGAGATATATGCGGTTGTGACATGATTTAAAGACGTGGATGCTCGGTGTTTGGAGGTTTTTCTTTGCTTATAAAACCATCCCTCGGAGATGCTCGGTTAGGGAGTTGAGAGTTTAGCCCTCCCTTTCCGGCGAAAGTCACAAGAAGGAGAAGAGAAGCAGTAAGACTCAACAAGAAAAAGGACGGAAAAGGCTAGGCAAGCCATGTGGCATGTGTCAGCGTTCACAGGCGTAGCTACCCTACCTTAAGGTACCTTAGCAGGCATCGTCATTTGCAGACACGGCGGGCGGTATCGGGGACCGGCACGTTTCGAACGTCGATTTCGGGCTCTAAATTGCTAGCGCAGCAACCACAACGCACACCTTCCCACCGTTTCAACCGTCGCCGGCATGTAAGGAGAGCGAGCCGGCGCAAAAGATGCCACAGATACGGACGCCAGACAGAACGAAAGCGGGCTCCAGCAAACGTAAATGGCAACACACGCACACCCAACACCTGGGATACCCACAACGCGAGGCGGTCCACCGTCCACGACTCCACGTCCATCGATCCTTGCAAGCAGACCCCCCGACACAAAAGAAAAGTGGCTACCCGTATACCCCGGTCGACGCTGGAGCTCCCACTTCTGACCACCCCCCACCCCCCCCCCCCCCACGCATCCTGCAAAAAAAACCCCCCACACAAAAAAAAAATGGGTTCCCCCATTCCCCGGTGCGCCCTGGGGCCCCCCCTTTTTACCCCTCAGGGGTTTCCAATTTCCAATTTCCCCGGTTTCCGGGTGCCAAAAGGCCCCCCCCCCGGCCTTTTTCCCCCCCCCCCCCCCCAATGGAAACTGACTCTAGTGTCATAGGCAGGCTGGTGCTGGTGCTGGTGCCGGGCAGGGTACATTCAATTGGTAGTTCTCAAACGCCCCCGGAGCAACGAACATTCGAGATTTATATTCCAAGGGCCGCCTGTTTCCCCCCCTTTGCTTCTCCCTCCGAAGCTATCTTCCTTTCTTCTAGTCCTACAATTGTGTCGTTGATTTCTTCCAGAACTCCATACCCACATCACCAAAGCTTCCAGCAAGGTTAGTTTCCAAACTCCCGCCAAAAAATTACACCCATCCCTTTTGCCGTTGAACTCCTGCCGCCTTATCTCGTACCGAAAATACCCGATACACTCGTGTGTCTCTCAGCAGACACACACACACACACACCACCACCACAAGAAGAAATCTCTAGTCTGACAAACCCATTCCAATTTGCACAGATGGCCGCTTCCACGAGACAGTTCGCCCGCGCGGCACTGAGAACCTCCACCAGAACCTCCTTCGCCGTCGCCCCCCGCCAGGCCTTCCGCCAACAGGGCCGCCGCTTCTACTCCTCCGAGCCCGCCAGCAAGTCTGGCAGCTCGACCTGGATCTGGCTCTCCGGCCTGGCCGTCGCCGGCGCCGGTGGTGCCTACTTTTACACCAAGGAGGGCGGCGTCTCCGCCGGCTCGACCCCCAAGGTCGTCAACCCCACAAAGGCCGACTACGAGAAGGTGTACAAGGCCATCGCCGACCGCCTCGAGGAGAATGACGAGTACGACGACGGCAGCTATGGCCCCGTCCTCGTCCGTCTCGCCTGGCACGCCAGCGGTACCTTTGACAAGGAGACTGGCACTGGCGGCAGCAACGGCGCCACCATGCGCTTCGCCCCCGAGTCTGACCATGGTGCCAACGCCGGCCTGAAGGCCGCCCGTGACTTCCTTCAGCCCGTCAAGGGTGAGTGAAAACCTAGCCTCTGGGCAACTGAAATTCGACGCGGCCACGTGGTTGCGCGATATCGCGTTCTTGCTTTGCTTGCCATTGTGAACGAACCTCGCTAACCTTCCCGCAGAGCAATTCCCCTGGATCACCTACTCTGACCTCTGGATCCTCGGAGGTGTCGCCGCCATCCAGGAGATGCAGGGTCCCGTTATCCCCTACCGCCCCGGCCGCAATGACGGCGAGGCTGCCGCTTGCACCCCCGATGGACGTCTCCCCGACGCCTCCAAGCGCGAGAAGCACCTCCGCGACATCTTCTACCGCATGGGCTTCAACGACCAGGAGATTGTCGCCTTGGCCGGTGCCCACGCTCTGGGACGTTGCCACGTCGATCGCTCTGGATTCTCCGGTCCCTGGACTTTCTCCCCCACTGTCATGACTAACGACTACTACAAGCTCCTTCTCAACGAGAAGTGGCAGTGGAAGAAGTGGGATGGTCCCGCTCAGGTAAGCAGAACTTTTTACTTGGCGAAAACTTTGAACGAAAAGGAGAAGAGTAGCTAACGTTCGACCGCGCAGTACGAGGACAAGGGCACCAAGACCCTGATGATGCTTCCCGCCGACTACGCCCTGATCCAGGACAAGACCTTCAAGAAACACGTTGAGGCGTACGCCAAGGACAACGAGGCCTTCTTCAAGGACTTCTCCGACGTCATCGTCAAGCTGTTTGAGCTCGGCGTCCCCTTCTCACAGGGCGCCGAGGAGCGTTGGACCTTCAAGCCCACTTGGCAGGAGTGAAGCAGTCACTCCTGTTGAGTGACTGTCGGAAAGTTTCCGAGAGAAACAAGCTGAGAGCAAGGAGCAAGAAGAGAAAGAATGGAGAGATCTAGACTTTGAGAGACGAGAAGAGATATCCAACGCGGAACAGCGTACCGAGAGATAGAGGGCAGGAAAGAGTTATCGAGAGTGGCCACTAGATGCCCTCCCCAAGCTGGTTTTTGAGCGTCTGACCAACTACCTGTAGTCCACTCCTGGACTTGTTTTCATACTACTGTTTACGTCCATAGTTCTTGTACAACATCAACACGAACCTTGAAAGACTACTTACCTTTGGTACCGCCGAATGTCGCCCACAGCGTGCACAGACAGAGGTGACATGAAGTCGAAATAGAGATTGGATGGCCGGGGGGAGGAGGAGGGAACGAACGAACAAAATGTCGGACGTCGGATCGTCTGGCACTAACAAGTAAACCCTGTAACGCAGCGGGTTTCCCCTCTCCCGCGCATTTGACAGGCGTCATCCCACGAAACGCTTTCCAGGTCCCCGGATGGACGGATGGACGGATGGACGGATAGACGGGAGCCATGCTCGTCGCGTCATGTCCGGTGGTCTGGACGAGGGGGGAAGGGAGGTGTGGCCAATCCCGGTGCTTTGGTATCCGTCCATCATGACCACCTCCAACCGACGCCATGTGCATCCTAGCGCCTGCTACCCCGGATGGGGAGGGGGACATGGGGTAACGGGCTTCCCCCGCATTCTTCGTCCATGCATGCACGTGGACCATGGGGACATCCTGCCTCGTTGTCCATGCAGCTTCAAGTTTGGAACGTTCTTCTTTGGAGTTGGGTTGGACTTTCGGGTGACGGTGGTTTTGCGATGGTTCCAGACAAGTCTGAGTGAGGAATTGTCTCATTCCCGCCGGGAGACAAGTAGGTAGACGCCTGGCCGGCACTGAAGACAACTGTGACGCAGGACACATTTCTCCTCGGTGTGACGCCGTCCACTGGACCCTGGTCCATCATGACAGATGGGTGGCGAAGAAGTCCAGCCGGTTTCCAGGCGAACGTTCCGAACTAGGCAGCTGGTGCTCCAGGTTCCCCAAGGCTCCTCCGAATCGTCACTTTTGCATGTCAGTACACACGGGCATCCCTAGCTCGTCGGAAACGCTCGCCTTGTTGAATCAGTTTCAGAGACACGGTCTCAATTGCCGAAGAACAATTTTCAGATTGAGATATTTGTGTTGTACCTGGCAAAGATGCGTTAGCCTCTCTATTTCTTCTCACGTGGCCGGCGGCATTGGAAGACTTGAAATATCATTGACCACATGATCCCGCGATCGATAGCTCGTGGGCCCGGATTGCTGCTAGCAGCCGCAGGGCTGGACATTCACATTATAGTCTCTACTTGTTTTAACTGCCAATGTTATGCGAAGAGGTGGGTTTCTAAGTGTTGCCGATAAGAGCAGCCTGGATGAAGATGGAATGAAGTAGAGGAGGTATGGATATGGCGCCTACCAAGACAATCTGGTCTCATCGATGGCCGGCATCAGTAGACTCGTGTGTTACCAACCGTGCCTTCTGTTGGATTTTCTCAAACCCAAGCTTGGAAAAGAGATTCCATTCCTTCTTCCCAGGTTGGTTGTGAGTATCTTTGGCACAATCCTTCCGCTGCCGAGGGCTGCCGCAGATGAGATAGCGATGGGCCGACAACGCAGAGGGAAGCCCGGTTTGTTCTTCTGCGATCGATTGAGGGGTGATTGAAAGGTAAGTATGTTGGGAAACAGGTGAGAGCGTGTGAATTGGGGTGGATTCAAGGCGCCAATCTGCCGAGCCCCATCTCTCGTAACACCGAAGAGATTCGGAGTGGGAAAATGAGAACCAAATATAATGGAGATCGTGATGTAACCATGCAATAGTTGACTAAAGATGCGCAAGAGTCTACACAGGGGTAGCATAAGATGGGCCTCGACTGTGTTTGCAATTCCAAGGTAAATTCAACGAAGAAAAAGGCTCTTACAAATCACCGGAAGCTCCGTGTTCAGATCAAAAGAAGCAGAAGCCCGGCGCAGCTAGCCCGTGATCGGCATTCTGGCTGTGCCGAAAACCGGCCCCATATATCCGGGACCCACAGGAGCTCTGCAATTGAAGACGCTGCGTCTGCAAGTGACATCCACCCCAGAAAAAAAACTACCATTTAACATCGACATCACCACTACTAACATCACTTTCCAACACACCCACAGCATCCACGGCCCTCGGTGCCTTCGCATACGAATCCTACGAGAACTACATAGCTATCCACTCTCGACGACACATTGCGACGCCCGCACACAAACACATACACACACACACATTCAACCATGGCTTCCTGCCGCATCCCGGCCCTACGGCACCTAGTCACCACCTCGGGACGCGCCTTCCGCGCCTCGAACCAGCGCCGCTGGGCGCAGGTCCATGATGCCCGCTTCCTCGCCACGACCCAGCAGCCCCGCGCCGTCGTCGAAAAGTACCGCGCCAAGCTCGAGCGCAAGGCCCAGCAGGAGGGCGTCTCCAACATTGACGAGCTCAAGGCCGCCTACGCCGACAAGATCCAGGAGCAGAAGAAGAAGGACGCCCTCTCGGTGCCGGGGCTAGACCACCTCCTCAATGACGAGCCCGCTCCCACGGCGATACCGACGACGGCGACGGCAACGAGCGAGACAGACACCCAGACCCAGACAAAACAAACGGCCACCCCGATCCCCGGGTCCTCCTCCTCCTCGGGCAACGGCGTCAAACCCCTCCATGAGATCCTCGACCTTCCCAAAGTGCGCGAGCTGCCCGACAAGGAACTCACCGCCATCTGGCGCCTCCGCCACGCCTCGGACCCAACCTCCCTCTGCGCCGTGATCCCCGCCACGACCTACGCGCAAATGGAATCCCTCGCCCGCCAGAACCCCCAATTCATCCTCCCCGTCCCGCACGAGTCCCAGGGCGCCGAGATCCACTTTCTGCAGTGGGTCTTTGACGCCGCCTCCCTCACCGCGACCGTCATGTTTACGCAGCTGGCCGAGTTCAAGGCGCGCGGCGAGTACGCGCAGCCGCACACGACTATTACGCACCACACGGACCTGGCAGCCGAGAGGGGCCTCGTGCTGATGCAGGGCAAGTGCCTTGAGGACCGCGGGGTCAAGACGTCGCACGCGCAGTGGCTCGTTCTCTGCCTGCAGCGGTTCTACGGCGAGGCTGAAGGCAAAGAGAGAGCGGAGGAGAGAAGGAAGCTGCTCGAGTGGTTCCGGCTGGGCGACGAGAGGTTTAGCGTCGAGAAGCTCATGGAGGAGGCGGAGCGGATTAGCTGAGTGTTGTGAGTCTGGGAGGCTTTTCTGGGTGGGTTGGGTTGGTGAAGGGGAGGAAAGGGGTGGTATCAAATCTCGATTCGCGCCTTGAAAGGTGATGTACGATGTTGGTGCTTGGGATTGTACCCGTCCCAGGCTGGTCTCGCCTACCCGTTCTACTCTTATAGAGCGTGAGCGCTTCCGAGAAAAAAAAAGGAGGCTCTTGTACATATAGTCCGGCAGGACATGTAGAACCACAAAAAAAACATATACTACAGTCAACTCGTATGCCTGAAAGACAGTCTTGCCTCTCTTGTGGTGTTTGTGGGAATAATGAATAGCATAAATACATGCCTATCTCGGTCAATTGGGGGAACCAGTTTGGCCACTGATCCTAGCCTCTAGGTCTTACAAGCTCGTCGAGGCGATATCAAGCTCTCGACAGCGTCACTTCGGCCTCGGCAATGTTTCTTTCCATGCAGACAAAGTCATTTCAACGTTCCATGTACACATTTCAAAGATGCTACGCCAACAGCCCGACATTTGTTTTGTTTGAATCCTTAGTACAATCCCTCATCATCACTAGCCGTCCCATCCTGAAATCCAGCAACGGCCTTGCCTTTTCCCTTCCCCTTGCCATTTGTCAAAGCCCCATCACCCTCGGATCCGTACTCGTCGTTGTCGTCGTCGCTGTCCAGAGCCAGGGCTTTCCCCTTACCCTTAGACGACGCGGGAGCAATCGCCTTCCCCTTTCCCTTGGAACTGGCCCTCGACACGACCGAAGACCCAGACACCGCCCTATTCCCACCGGCCGCCACCGCCGTGGGCCGTTGCTGCTGCGGCTGCGGCTGCGGCTGCGGCTGTTGCTTCTCTGGCGACCCCTCAAAGCTGGCTCTCACACTTTCGTAGTGCGCCAGCTCGCCCGCGCTGACACTCGGCACGAGCTCGTTATGTGCGTTCATGAAATCCTCCTCGGTGACCATGACGGCAATGTCCTCCGGCGTGGCGTGATGGTCGAAAAAGTACGCCGTCGAGATGGGGCCCTGCGGCCTCTCTGCGTTGATCTCGCGGATCTTTTCGTCGACGGCAGCGGCCTGCCGCGTGACGGCCTTGAGCATCGCGTCGCTGCAGAGGGCGTAAAAGTCGGCTCCCGTGTAGGTGAAGGGCAGACGGTCCGCGACGGCTTGCAGAGACACTGCGGGATGGAGAGTGAATCTGGGGGGTTGAAAAAGTGTCAGCATGTACCATGCGTAAAGCCGGCCTCTGTGCCAGGAAGGAGAAGGGGGGTGGCTTTCTTACTTTCGGGTGAGGGCCTCCAGGATCGTGCGCTGCTTGTCGTGGGTGTCTGACACCCCGAGATAAAGCATTTTGTCGAAGCGTCCGGGACGGAGAAGAGCGGCATCGAGCAGGTCGGGTCTGTTCGTGGCGCCGATGACGAAGACGCCGCCGCTGGTGTCATCGCCTCCCGACATGCCGTCCAATTCGGCGAGGAGTTGCGAAACGATGCGGTCCATGACGCCGCCGCTGTCCCCCTGGTTTCCACGCTTCGGCGCCACCGAGTCCAACTCGTCAAAGAAGACGACGCAAGGGCGAGCATCTCTGGCACGCTGGAAGACGCGTCTTACGTTGGCTTCTGACTCACCAATGTACATGTTGAGCAGCTCGGGCCCTTTGACGCTGAAGAAGTTCAGGCTGTACTCCGTTGCAATGGCCTTGGCCAACAAGGTCTTTCCGGTACCGGGGGGCCCGTAGAATAGGATACCCGACCTCTTCTTCATGCCCTTGGCGAACAGTTCGGGCCTCTCCAGCGGTAGCTGGATGGTTTCCGTCACCGCGTCCTTGACGTTGGTCAGACCGCCGACGTCGTCCCACGTGACGTTTGGAATCTTGGGCGCTCCGATGGCGCCTGCAAAATTCTTTCGTGCGGCTTCGACTGCGACTTCAAAGTCGCTCTTGGTGACGCAACGCGCCATCGGTCCACCGGCAACCTGAAGGTCGCGAACTGTCACGTCCTGTCCAGTGGATTCTGCCGTTGAAGAGATCTGCTCAAGCCTCAGTCGCTGTGCGATAAGTGCTCGATCAACCACGTCTACGAGATCACCGGCCACCAGCGCCGCGGTCTTCAGAGCTATGGCATTGAGGTCAATTTCGGGGTCCAGATTGACGCCACGGTCCTCGATAATGGCCCTCAAAATGCCTTCACGCTCAGCTTCGTCAGGGGCGCCCATTTCAAGTTCGTGGCTAAAAAGGCCACGAACTCCATCTGGCACCTTGTCGACGTCGCTGGTTGTCGCAATCAAGACCCTTGTGTCCTGCAAAATCTCCTTCATCGTTGAAACCATGCGGTCTGCTGTCAAGGCCTCAACATGCCGGATTAGCAATGCCGTGGTTTCTGGGCCACAGCTCATCGCTCTTTCGGCCCTGGTTCGCAAGAGACCCTCCGTCTTTACATCACTGCCGCTTGTCCCCGCTTCGCTGAGGATGTCATAGGCATCGATCGAGTACGTATGCAGGCCAATGTCTGAACAAGCGTCCGATGCAACAGTTGCCTTTCCTATGTTGCGGTGGGTGGCAGTCACCAGGATTGCAACAGGCGGCATTTTGAGATGGACTGCTCTGGGACTGGTGGCTGCAGCAAGTAACTCTCGCAGACGCCGCCGCAAAGTTGATATGTAACGCTGGTCTTGGTCAGGGAACGTCAGTGCTGAAGCAGTCGGCACTTTCGAGGGCATTCTCTTGACACCCAGGTAGTAAGGCCAGGTATTGGACTTGGTTGCAGGTATTCGGTTCGTGGCGAACCCAGAGCCATGCATAGCGACGGACGAGCTGTCGATGCATGCGACCCCTCCCCACAACTCCTCAGACTGGTCGTCGTCGGCATCAGACTTTGCAATCTGAATGTGCCCAACCTTGAACCATGCCACTTGATCGCATCTCGATGATCCTTCTTTTGACAGAGCCATCACGTCATCAACCTCTGATCCATTGCTTCCGCTGGGCTGCTCTTGGAGAGCTTTTCCCAGCTGCGTATCGATGGGCACGGCAATGAGATCGCCTGTCCGCACTAGTCGAATCTTTTGGGCAAAATACCGCTTGAGACCACCTAGCACCGCCGACTGATAGGCGCGTTCCGCAGTCACAGGCGAGCGGACATGCTGAATTGTGATGTCGCGGGCATATGGAGGTCGCGATGCGCTTGTAAACTTGGGAAGCGTCCCCTTCCCTTGGTACGTCCCTCGTTTGATAGGTGATAGCCGGAGATACGAGGGTTCATCGAGGTTGGCTAGCAAGATTGGAGAAATATAAGCGGCCGGACTACTGGGTTTCTGGAGCTGAGACTCGAAGAACGATAGCTTGCGTTCGCCATGTTTGGCGCTTGGTATCCGCGTGACTGGACGCTGGGTATACCCCTCTGGAAGGCCGTATACTCTTACAGGCCGCCAGCTGGATTCGACCGGCTCGAGCGATGTAAAGCTGCCGAGACCAAACGCACCGAAGCCATTCGTGGGAGGCTCTTCTGCGGCCTCGACACGGACCCAGTCTCCCGAGAAGCAGCCAATCTTGGATAAGGAAGTTATATCTACAAAGATCCTAGCTTCATCGTCGTCTTCCGGTGCCGGTTTGGGGTGGAGAAGGTCCACGGGAATAGTCCGAACCAGCCCTTGCGCCTTGAAAAGTCGTCCTCGAGGCCGGTCTGGGCGCGCCGTAGTCGCGGTGAAATTGGAAAACACAGAGGCGGGAGTTGCGATTCCATTGGTTTTTCGCCCCCTCCCAATGGTCATCGGAGTCCCGGGCTGCATTGTGGAAACTCCACTCGCCGCAGTTGTAGGCAGCGTTGGCGCCTGCAGAGAAATCATGTCGTCCATGGAATCGTCGGAGAGGTCGTCATCCTGCTCGATACCCGAAAGCTCCGACTCCTCCGTCTCCGTCACGGAGTCTATGTCTGTGTTCGCCGCGTCAGTCTTGTACCGGTCTTCGGCAGCCGAGTAGAATTGATCATTGGCCGTATCGTCCTCCTCGTCCTCCGGGACGCCATTCAGGCTTCGGTTCGGGGGAATCGAAGGAGCGACCTGGCCGCGCTTTGTGTGTACTCGACCTCGCAACAGGATGATTTTCGTGCTCTCGGACAGGACTCCCTGACTGACAGGCTCACAAAGCATAATCTTGCCGGGGTTCGGGGGGATGTGGGTGACAGGGTGCGGCGGTAGCGGGAGAGGGAAGAGGTCACCGGAGTGAAGGACCTTCAGACTGCCCAATGCTACACGCAAGGCCGAGATAAGGCGATCTTCGGAAGCATCCGAAGCCACAGACCCTTTGCCATTGCCATTGCTTGGGTGATCGCGATAAAAGGTGCCTTCGCCCTGCTCCAAGCGCCTCGTCAGTTCGCTCTCCAGGCTCACGTATACTGTATCGAGCGAGAGCGTGACTACGTCGAGTACCTGGATCTCGATGCCGCTGCGGCTATTGCTCGAGAGCTTCGAAGGCGCATGTTGTTGGAGTATGGTGGCAAAGTTCTGCAGCGACAAGGACGAGGGGGAGAACTGGACGGTTGAGGGTTTGAGAGCCGAGGATTTGATCACGGGTACTACGGTCCAGGCGGTTTCGGTCGGGGTAGGGCTCGGTTCCCAAGGAGCGATAGCAACGTGGTGAATGTCTTCGAAACCATCTTCGTGAGAGGGCACTGCGCGTCGACAGAATCAGCAGCTGCATGTGCGAGACCGCTTGCGATAGGCGCATTCTTACCGTTGCGGAGATGGGGGAATAGGTCTGCAAATAGGTCCTCGGACAGAATGCCCACATCTCCCCTCACGTTGTGGTCGTCGAGAATCAACCTAGCCGATAATGCTGGCTTGTCTTGTCGGCGTCGTCGCGCTCTCTTGTTTCTTCTCGCCTGAGAAGGCGGCGTGAGCTCCGAGGTAGTCATCCTGTTGTTCGGAAGGCGGTTGTGCGCAGTGCGATGGGTTCAAGCGCTGTTCAGATGCGCATCGCACGGAGAAAGGGGCACAGAGTACTGTGAGCCCGTATGTTACAGGAAACAACGGAGGCCAGATGCAGAATTCACAATCAATTGATGTCGAACGTATCAACAGTCGTAGGTTCATGAGACCATGTCGCGATCTCCGCGTTGACAAGCTACCTTACGGCTAAGCTATGGTCCCTGGACCGCTAGCTTCGGCTTGGGGATGTCTCTAGGCCTCGGCATTGGCGCGCTGCCAGCTGCAGCCAACCTCATGGCGTCCCCGCTGAGGGCAGCTCAGGCGCTCTCCGCCTCTCGAAGTCGAGTCAAAAGCCCATGTGGAGAAAATAGTCTGACTAAGCATCCGGGGTTGAGCGTCAAACCCGAATATCCTCCGATCTCATGTCCAATAGTGCTTATACGACGGCTTGTACGTTACATCCTAATGTTCATCAGGAAAATCTGATGGCGAGAAGTCACTTCCATTGAAATTTGAGGCCTAAAACTTTGGAATGCCGAGTGAGTTCCGGCTACCGCTTCAATCAAGAATTTGATGATGAAAATCCAGCTAAGAAGCAGTGCTACAACCAGCAGACAAAGAAACTAGCACCTTTGAGATATGGGATTGCATGCTGGCGCCAAAGGATGGGCATTATGTCCTCGCGGCACAAGGACTCAAGCGACCAGCGAATAAGTTATTTTGCCTTGGAACCTGGAAGTGTCTAACAGCATATTCCAACCGGCGACAAGAAGGGCTGGCACCAGCAGCAGCACTCTGTATGAACCCCAAAATTCCGTTCAGGACCTTGAGGTAAGGTAAGCAGCGGTATATGCATTGCTTGATCCACGGCTTGTGTGAGTCTGGCCGTGGCGACCAACGATGACGACACATACCCATCCTTGCGGAAACCTGGTACTCAGACGGCCCGCCCTGACCCAGCCGATGGAGACAAAGAGGCTCCGAACTGCAACACACACAGCCTCAGCCCGATAGAACCACAACCAGTGTTTGCAAGGTGGCAACTCCAGAACCTGTTGCAATAGTCCAAAATCGACGAGTCGTTGCAACTAATTAATCCTGTATCGAGCCTGATGACGACAGACGCCTGCTTGTTGCCGGCTCCGTTGCCCTGTATTTTCCCATTAAGCAACCATTACCAGCATTCGTACTCGTTTTTCGTATGCTTGGAATGATTAAGATTTCCCCATGATCAGGCACGATCAGTAGAGTCCGTGAAAGGCGCACTTGACTATGAACTTCACGATGGCAGCTCCAGCGAAAGAAGGCGATTGACAGACGAGTCGCGAGGGTTTCATTTCCCGGCTGCATTACCTAATTTGCGAAGTGCCCACAATAGACATGTTGAAGACCTGGATTCATCTGGCTTGATGCTGTTATCGATGCTGTGTGTACAGATCAATAGTGCTAATTTCAAAAAAAAAAAAAAAAAAAAAAAAGAGTGTCAGGATCGTCACATGCTTTTTTGCCCGAGTAATTTCACAGCCCAATCATGGCATGGCCTTGAGCAAATGCTCCGAACAACACACACAGCGATGACGCAAGCGGGGCTTCTCCCTGTCCAAGCCGCATCCTCTGCCTCTCTTCTTTCCAATCGGCTGGCTCGACGCTTCCGAGACCTCAAGGCTCAGCCGGCAGCTGCTGGTCCGGGCTTCTTCAGCGCCTCAGCTCTCGGTCTGTTGTTGCGAAATGAAATGACAGGGAAGGGAGATGTCCGAGGGGGGCGCCAAACAGAGTTTCAGATGGCGGCGGCTGGGCCTCGTGGACTTTCTGCTTCGGATGCGAGGCGTACCAAGTATCCGTGTGCTGTCGCGTTCATGTTTTGAGGTGATATTGACAGTCGAGACTGTCAGCCATCATCAGACCGTATCCATGGAACTCCATCTGGACCAAAATCAACGTCAATCACACCACGATTCTTGCGGTGAAACCGCTTGATCAACAATCGAGAGCAAAACTTTTTGGTGGCTGCAACTTGCCCCTTATCTTTGTTAGTCTCCAATATTCCTAGTTCGCCTCTCTCCCTTTTCCATCCACCCGCCAACCGTTCGTGCCGTTTTAGTTGCTTTCCAATTACCATAGGAGGACATTACTTTGAATATCCCTACATCCCCAATTTACTCTGCCACCCCTCCCCTTTTTTCGTCCCGGATCTACATTTTTGCTTCCCTGCTTTGGACCGCCTCGACACCATCTCCGTGATGCCTGTTCATGCCATCAGTGGCTGTAAAAACTGCACCTGACGCGCAAAATTCCACCCCAATTAGCATTCTGTAGACTTCACCTCATACCTCCCTCCAGTCGCCTGAAGAAAGCGACGGCGCTCTCCCTTTCAGCGCTTCAATCCCTTCGAGAACGAATTCTACAACTCTCGCGGCGCTGATCATAATTTTGCGCCGCTGTCGCATTACATCGTGTACCCCAAAAAGACATGGGTAATTTTTCCGAATCGCCGGATCGCGGTCGAGACCGAATACACGACAATGGCATCGCACATACTGCCATCGAGTTTGCCCAGCAAGCCGAGAAACTGTCACTCCAAAAGAGCGAAAGTCACGACAACGATTCCGAAGTCGCTGTCGAAGCCCGCTTTGTGACACCTCAAGATCCTGTCATAGTCACATCAGACGGCAAGAGACTGCCGGGTGTGCCACTTCAAGAGGCGCATAAGTTGAACATTCTAAAGGAAGAACTCCGAGACGGTACTGTTGTGGCCAAGGTCAGGGAGGCTAGTGATACGGATAGAAAGATTGCAAACGCTGGTGTGCTTTCAGAGAAACGAGAGAAGATTGTCTCCCTACCGACCGATGCGAATGGAAAGTCCATGCAGAAATCAGACGAAGCGTCTCTTCGTCGCCAAACACCACCCTCACACACTAACCCATTGTTCCCGCCTCTACCTCTCTACGGGCCTCCGTCACTATTTCGCAATTTCCAATGCTTGGTCTTCCGCGTCTCGGCATTCTTCCTCAGTCTGGCTTTTCTCGGGGTGATCGTGCTTGGCGCGCTCTTCACCAGCATACCGCCACTATGCACGAGGGTCTTTTACCGCCTGACGCTGCAAAATCCCGACAAAAAGAGGCCATTCTTCGAAGAAGAGGCACGGAGAGAAAAGGTTCGCAAAGAGGAGAACAAGAAATGGAAGCGCAGCAAGTCCAGCGACAGGCTAGGAAAAGTCAGCGAGGTCGCCGACGAATTCGTTCCGACGGAAGGGGGTCCCGATCCGATCGTCTGCGACGTCGGCTACTACGCTCGCCGCGTTGGTTTGGATGTCGAGGAAATCGAGGTGCAGACCGAAGACGGCTTCCTGATTGACCTCTGGCACGTATACGACCCCAAGGAATACACAAGGATGAGTGAGGATGACAGGTCCGACAGAGGCCCCGACGTCTTCCAGTCTTCAAAGAAGAAGCTCAAGGACCCCAGCCAAAAGCGCAAATTCCCCGTCCTGCTCATCCACGGTCTCCTGCAAAGTTCCGGCGCGTACTGCACAAATGACGAGAACTCGCTCGCGTTCTACCTGTGCAAGTCAGGCTACGACGTCTGGCTGGGCAACAACCGATGCGGCTTCAAGCCCAAGCACACCTCGCTCAAGTACACCGACCCGAGAATGTGGTGCTGGAACATCCGCCAGATGGGCGTCTTTGACCTACCGGCGCTGACATCGCGCGTGCTCTACGAGACCGGGTTCGAAAAGATTGGTTTGATCTGCCACTCACAGGGCACCACCCAAACGCTGGTCGCACTGGCCAAAGAGCAACGGCCAGATCTCGGCGAGAAGCTGACCGTCTTCTGCGCGCTGGCGCCGGCTGCCTACGCCGGGCCCCTGATTGGCAAGATGTACTTCAAGTTCATGAGAATCATCACGCCAGGCATGTTTAGGTTAATGTTTGGCATCCACGCCTTCATCCCCTTCATGATGGAGATGCACCGGGTGCTCCACCCAAGGATCTACGGCTGGCTCGGCTACAAGGTCTTCTCTTTCCTCTTCGACTGGACAGACACGAGGTGGGACCGCGGTCTCAAGGACCGCATGTTCCAATTCGCACCCGTCTATGTCAGCGCGGAGTCGATGCGCTGGTGGCTGGGGAGGGAGTGCTTCGCGCGACACAAGTGCATCCTCTCGACAAAGGAAGACGTCCATGCCGAGGAGAAGGAGGACAACATCAACGGGCACGACAATAACAGCAACGACAACCACACACTCCGGGCCGACGACGCGGATGGCCTCATGTCGCAGCGGACCGTGGACGACCACGTCCGCAGACTAAAGGGGTCCACCGCCTGGTACAACGAGCAGGCGCCCCCGTTTGCCCTCTGGGTCGCTGGCAGCGACGACCTCGTGGACGGCAAGAAGCTCCTCCGGCGGTTCGAGCGCGGGCGCGAGCCGCACGTCAACGTGGTGCACAGCAAGGTCATTCCCGAGTACGAGCACCTCGACGTCATCTGGGCCATGGACGCGCCGGAGCAGGTATTTAGGGAGGTGCGTGAGGTGCTGTGGAAGACGTGCGATGTCAGGGACGCGTGCCGGGTGCCGGTGGCGTGCGAGGAGGTCGAGCAGTGGGTGCCGCCGCCGCCGCCGTCGCGCAAGTCCGCCAACGGGGGTCTGGAGGAGAGCCAGTCCAGCAGCGACGAGACCGAATAGGAGTCGGAGGCAGCAGCGGTAGCGGTAGCGGTCTCGAAATACGCCTGGTTTGTTTTTGGGACATCATCTTTGAATTATAGATACACGGGGTTTGGCTTTTTGCGAGGACTAGGCTACATCGTACCTTGAGCAGCGTGCATCGCGAAGGAGTCAACGGTGTTGGGGCATTGGAATACGCACTAGGGGCTTGGGTGAAACGAGACAAATGCCTATGAGTAATGGTAATAAGCGAGTTCATTAAGCGGGATTTACTACTGCTTCCAGAGATTTGAATAGAAGCATACATACACGACCTCACGCTTTTGGATGGAGATGGGAACATGTTGGCTGGCGCTTTCACCAAGCACTTTGTGCCTGGGCAACTAGGGACGAGGAAGTCATGATATACATATATGTTGATGACGCTGGAATGGCAGATACTACCATTAAGAAATAGATGAGAATAAAACTTGGAAGCATCTCTCATCTCTCAGACCCAAGATGTACATTTTATCACTCCTTGACAAGCAGTCCCCCTTCTCTTTCTCTCTCTCTCTCTCTCTCTTGCGTAAGCATGTGTTGAAGATGAAGCACACTTCAAGAAAGGGTGCGTCCCCTTGGGAAAATCGTCCTATCCTCCCTTTGTCCTCCATAGATCAGAAGAAAGAAAGCTCGTCATAAACCCCCAACAAACACTCCGCGGAAAGGGGATTCTTATCCCCACCGCCGCCGTGAACTTACCTAGGGATACTTAACAACGGCCATCATGGCCTCTGTATTCGATACGACGACTCAAGGAGCCTAGCTAAACACATGAAAGCAACAGCAGATGGGAGAAACTTTTAAAGTTAAAAAAGGTCTTTCTACTCTCATCTCTCATCGAACCGGGCATCGTCATCTCCATCTCATCAAAAGTCGAGAATCAAAAGTTGAATAAGATTGCTCGTTTTACTCCTCTCCCAAATCGTCTTTCCGTATGGTGAAGCCAAAACGTAGGGAGGCAAGTATAAAAGCTGATGGGCGAAGGGTAATATACAGAGTTTGCTTTGATAGCATAAGCAAAAGATTTCATTTCTTCTTTACAAGGAAAAAAAAGGGGGCGGAAAGGAGAGGAGGAAGAGGGGGGGACAGGCCAAGAACAACGTCCTGATGGGGCGTGAAAGCAAAGGAAATCTCGCAATGACAATCTTTTTTCCCCCTACACCAGAGTTGTTTTGTCTGCCTCCCCTCCACTAAAGACAGAGATGGCCCAAGTCTGAGCCAGCTCACCGTAGAAGCAGAGAGAGAGAGAGACAAAGATTAAGTATTTGTAACCCTTCTTCCCCAACCGCTGTCGAATTTGGGGAAAAGTAAGACTTCACTCACGTCCCACGGTTATGTATGCCCCCCTCCCCCCCTTTTCCTGGAATACATTTATATATGTATATATACATACCACCTAGTGCGAGTCCCTCCCATGTACCAGCCATATCAACAAAACCTTCTCGGGCATTCGGTCACAGCTCTGGGTAGTTCCCACATGGTAAAGCATCACTATGACACAGTTTCCAAAGGGCCAATGGCAAAGATCAAGGTGTTCACTACGATAAGTTCAAGTATCCATCATCCATCGTTCTGATGAACCTCGGCATCAAGGATCCCTCCGGCCCTCCTCCGGCCCTCCCCAGAGGATAGAATAGACCTCCAAAAGGCGGGAAAAAGGGGGGGAACGGATGACAGTTGAGATTTACGGGACCAATGGGCGCTGTGCTGCATCCGCGAACACGCTCACGAGCCTTTGTGCCCCCCCGGCCTGTCACTCGATTCAGTCAAGAGTCAAGACTGTCAGAGTCTCCTCAAAGATCCCAGCGGCATGGTTCTCAAAGTGGGGGTGGCTGCTGCTGCATGGCAGTTTGCAAAAAACGCTTTAACGTGAGACACCGTTGAACGTCGCTTGGGTAAGGACCTTGCCGTGCCATGTGTGCCCATGAGTGATTTTTGTCTCCCAAAACCGCACCAATAAGTATCCATAGTCTTTCCTGGTAGCAGCAGAAAGCATTGCTGATTGTGGTTGCAGTCGGCAAATCTTTTCTCTCTTTGAGCACAACGTTCCATCCATCCACACACACTGAAATCCAACTCAAATGTTGAAAAGTGACAGCTTACCTTACCCCCCCAGCACCCCCCCTTGCCTGACCCTCATCATAATGGCGTTGGAAAGCCTCAAGAGGATTAGCCAACTTCTTGACTCTGGACTCTGGAGGCCCGGAGGGGAAATGAGTGGATATCTTTGCTTGAACCCCCAGAAACCGGGGGTGCCGCTGCGCAAACGTGTGCCTGGCATAGCCGTGTGTTCCAAGGCGAGCCCGTCGCACTCGCAGCAGGGCCCATCTGCACAACATCCTCTCATCTTATCTCGTGCTGCGGGTTCTAGTGAAGGTAGTCGCTGCTGTCAGATTTTACCGTGTACTCACCTCGTAGCCCTCGTACTGCTCGCGAACATATAAGCCGCTGTTTTAGTGGCTAAATAGGATATATCCCCAAGAAGATGTCAGACATTAACGACTGGTGTCATATAAGTAGTAGGAATACGTAACACAGTCTAGGTCCATTGGTCTCCTTCGTAATAGCCGTACATTTGGTTGCTTCCTCTGCTGCTGCTACTTTGCGTTGGTGGAAAAGATGGAGGAGGGCAGGTTGAGAGAGACTCCGTGTACGGATAATGCTGCGCGTGGGAAAAGGGGAGGATTCGGGCAAAAGCCAAAGGTCACCTGGCTGGCGCGCCCCTTGTCGAAGAAAACGAACTTGAATTGAGAAGCTGCAGGAAGTCCTTCCCCCCCGCCGGGCCCCGGCCATATCACGTCGGACCAAGGGCAAGGGTTTCCACCGTGCTGCGTATCAGAGTGGGAATGGGCTTTCGGTCAGGTACTCAGTTGTCTTGTGATCCACTAATGCACCTCCATCAGAAAAAATTCGCGACGGTATTACGCCAGAACAGCCCATTATTTGGTCTGGTCTGCTATTGAGTCAACTACGTCAGGTGATTGATGTGAAGAGTGAGGATAGGGCCTCTTCAGAGAATGAACGGCAACAGCCAGGCAGCGAGGTCAGTGAGAGCACAGCGACCTTGCAGCTGGCTTTAGTGAGAAGACGAAAGAAAGGTGGCGCCAGAGATTGTTCTCGAAACGATATAGAAGAGTGAAGCCTCAGTGTCAGGTCTCGGTCCTGAAGCCGTATGCTGGTCGTTGCGCCAAGTTCGGCTTCGCCTCATCCTGAACGACAGGGTCGTTCCATAGGTCTCCCGTCGGGGAGGGGCCCGCGACCAGGAGGCTCGCAGCAAACGTACACTCGGCACGAGGAGGAAGGGAGCAAGACGCGGTTTGCGAAGAACGTTCAATGATCCCAGATCAAGCATCCTGCAATGATGCGCATAACAATGGCGAAGAAGCGGTGCGGTGGGCAGCATAGGTCGGCCCACCAAGAGGGCGGCGCAATGCCATGGTGCTGCTGAACTGGTAAAATGGCTTGACCCAAGTGCGCGGGAACCAGCCAGACGTTGGCGAAAAGTACGTAGGCTCAGTGCCACCCTGCACGGCTCCTGTGCGTCTCGTCGCCCGCATGTAGACGCGGGTCGACCGTCAGATGTAAGTAAACTTGTGTGCTTGTATGCGTGTGTGCGCGCCGGAGACAGGAGGAGGGAGAGAAAGTGTGTGTGTGTGTTTGTGTGCGTGTGTGTGGTGCCGCCGTATGCAAAACATATATAAGCGTATGCGTCCTATCCCTCCAGGACGATGGAGCCGACGATCAACAGGAGAGAAAACTTTGTCGGCAGCGACGAGCTTTTCGACAACCGAATCTGCTCATCCTCAAGAGACCCCCGTGTCGCGTTACAAGCCAAAACCCACCGTCTGCTCCTCGCCATTCGTCGCACTGCGCGCGCACCTGTCGAAACTTGGCAGCCCCAGTTTCTCTGTCACAACACTCGACGGGCCGAGCCGTCAAACACTATTCGGACGGCTGAATAAAGCCAGACAAGACCGTCCCAACTTCGACAAGATTTGGCAAGGAGAGAAAGATCTGACGAACTCTGGCCGTGTACCGAATCATGATTAATACGCCAACGACAAATACTCGGTCCCATGTCGAGCCGCAAGCAAGCGACATGGCGCTCAAATTCTGCGACCACAAGTCTGTCTGCGGTTGCGAGGAACGGATACCGGCGGACAAGAGTCTATGCGACCGATGCGCCCAAGGGAAATGCTGAGATTCCCAGGCCGAAGCAAAAAAGGGATTGAAAGCCGGAGGGGCAGCTCGACCGGACTTGCGGGATTGGGCCATCGCATGGTACCATATTCAGCTCGAGACGCAGTGGGAGGACAACGCGGACGCCACACGCCAGGCCGAGTCGCATGTGTGGCCGCCGCCGCCTGGAGCATGACTCTCTACCGGATTGCTCCCCAAGCAAAGGATTTGGTTTCAAGTTGATTTGACGCAATGATGATGCGTCACATTTCCGTATGTCGGCAGTCAGCTGCGGCTCTTGCGCGTACAGGATACGGCCATGAGCGTACTATGCAGTAATAGGGGCCGACTGTAAATTGTTGGGAGTTCTTTGCCTTTGGAGGGTGGAATTTGTGTCTCGCATTAGGCACGATGCGAGTAGCTGGGCAAAAAAAGAGGGAGGGGAAGGAAATCTCGAGTTCTGCGCTACCATTACACCGCATACATTAATACATGTGCTTACGAGCGTTGCCATCCTTCCCCCAACACGCCGAGTCGACGAGTTGCCATCAAATAGAAGAAGCCGACTTATTCGGCGCGGTAGGAATCGAAGTGATATCTACAGGGATGCAAGACGGCGGGATCGTGCCGCTGTTGATGTTCGATTGGCACAACGACTGTCGGGAACCGAGGGGGGATGCCGGCGGGCTTATAGTCTGGCATGCAGCGAAACGAGGATCGAGCCGCGTAATCACCCATGTACCACCGGAGATCAACGTGGAGGCGATGAGGAAAAGTAGTACCGGTAGTCGGAAAGGAGAGTTGGAACAGCGGAAATCCCGACAAAGATGAGGAGTTGCCGTCAGATGTCTTTGTTGACGGACAGACGACCTAGAAAGCGGCCCGTTCCTTTTCTGAGGCAACCACGTGGGCGAATCAGCGCGGCGAGCCTGCCTTACCGTTGAGATGGTCCACGAAATTGGCGTCAAAAGCTCGCCATTGGCTCACGGTTGCAGGACCAACGGCCGGCAGTGCCTGACTTGGGTTCATCTTAGACAGTGGTACTGTCTTAGCCACGCATTTCACCTGCTTCCTTCTGCTGCAAGTCAAAATTTCTCAAGGTCTAGAGCAGTCGGTACTCACGTACTGTGTGGGCGTAGGGGAGGGAGCGGCTTGCTCTCTGCGCGCGCGCGCGCGAGCGGAGAGAAAGATATAGAGAGAATTCTGGGCCAGCATTGTTGGCATTAGGCTCATCGTGGTCTAGCTAAGCCCCGATATACAGGAATGAGTTATATGCAGATTGCGCGCAAATTTTGTAGGGGCCCCAATCTTGTATACTACTACAAAGTACACACATGTGAGTCAGGCAAGTTCCTTTGCAAAGATCTCACACCGAAACGGCCCGATGAATGCATCTTTTCACAAAAGTCATTCCATTCCAGAGCCACCGAGGGGCAAAGTGTGAGGTCATCTCATGGTCGTCTCATTCAGAAGTAAATAAAACATAGGAAAAAAGGGCTTATGTGCATCATCTGTCGGGTATGTCTGCAATCATCTCCCAATAGGTATAAACTCCTCCAACCCATCCGACAGCCCAAGCAATAAGTCTATGGCCAGAAGTGAAGGCCACCCGGTAGCCGAGGCTCCAAACCGCTTTCCAAAACACCCAGAAATAGTTGTTAAACATAGAGGTCTCCAATCAGCCTATCCCCAGAGAATAAGAGTGGTATCAGTCGAGAATCGAATTAATGCGTTGTGACTAAGCGATGCGTTGGTGGCCAGGCATGACGTCTAGTTCAGTGCGAGGGCTGCGAGACCGACAACGGCGGCCATGAGGCCGCTCTGGACGAAGAGACCAGATCCAGCGCTCGCAGGACCCGAGGGAACAGCGCTGCCTGCAGAAGTGGGAGCGGCAGAGTCGGCCGAAGTCTTGATGGGGAGGACGGTAGACTTGGTCCAGGGCGCCGAGGCGGTCGGGCCAGCAAAGCTGGTGGAGTTGGCAGCCGGGTAGAAGTGAGACGACGAGGACGACGAAGAGAAAGATGAAGAGGTGGAGGTAGAGGTAGAGGTGGGAATGGAGGTCGTCGAGTTGATGGTAGGCGCAATGGTCGAAGTCGGCGTGTACAGGGGGCATGCGGTATTGGTCGGGTTGCACTTGGTGATAGTAACCGTCTTGGTGGTGGTGGTGGTCTTGGTCGTAGTAGTCTCATCCGCGGACTGAGCGACCGCGACCGAGGCGGCCAGAAGAGTGAAGATGCTGGTGAAACGCATTTTGACTGATGTAGCTAGGATATGTATGCTTTGAGCTTCGGTGTAAGTCAATGTATGGCCAAAGTTGACGAGTTTCCACCGGGGTGAGTTGTGTGCGTGTGCAGGCGTTTGCCGCTAATGAATACAATGTCAAGGGAATGACGGGGCTGTCTTGTCGATATTGACAGATTTGAATGAGAGTAATGTGCAGCAAGAGGCACGATGACGAAGAGCAGTTGCAAGAGAGTGTGGGCACTAGACGCAGCGGTAAGGAGGGCAACGGTGAGGAATCAGGAGCGACAGTGTAAGGCGCATGGGAGGGGGCAGGCGAGGTATTTCTGCTTTTATCAACGACTCGGCCGAACCACGACGATTGCCCAGCAGGGCAGCCGCTGGGCGTGTGGGCTGGCGGAAATTTTGCGAGCGTTGGCCCTTGGGCAAGCCGCAACACGGCGTTTCCTGTGCCTGTAAGGCCCCCCGTCCCGATGGCCCCCATCCCTCCCCCCGTTGGTGTGGTTGGCCAGTGGGTGCGCGAGCGAGGACATGGGGCCAGACTCGTCGATCTGTGCGCTTTGCTCGGCTTTGCTTTTGATTTTTCTCTTTTCTTTCTAGTGCTAATAACCACTACCAGAGCTAGCAAGCAGAACAAGGGGTGAACTGGCCACCAGGCCTGGCCTTGCCCGGGGGATTGCGACGCTGTCGTTTGCTGATCTAACTGTCAAAGTTACGAGCGAGAGAGAGAGAGAGAGGAGAAGCAGATTAGCTGGGGAGATGAGACTCAGAGACCTTCGGAAAGAGGTTGAGAGACAAGACAAGCTTCTCCTTGACCGCTGGAAGGGCCCGGAGAGAGTCGACATGCACAAACATGATACGGATATCCGTATTTTCGTAGGCTATAGCGCACATACACAACAGGGATCGACCGTTTTGGTGCCTTTCCGTGGGAGTGAGTCGTCTGTGAGCACTGAGATCTCAGATGGCCCAGGGGAAGAGGAGCGCAGAGAGAGGTGACATGAGGCCTGAGGGTGTTATCCGATGTCCCAGGGCCAGGCCTTGGGCCAACGAACCAGAAGCGGCTGGTCAATCCGGGCAACGGCACCAAGGGATCGTGTCCAAAATTGGGCCCGCAGGATCCCGTCGTCGGTGGTGGCCCGGGTGATTGGCTGCACAAACATGGCGGTGGGCCGGCACTGCACGGCGCAAGCTTGCGCTTCGCTGACGGGACCTGGCTCTCCTCAGCCTGCAGCTCCCACTGGTTCGTGCCTGCAGAGCCCTTGCGGATCGCCTCCGTCATCCCTGCTAGCAACATGCAGGAACAGCATATCCTGACGCATTGGAAAACAACTCATCCGAATTTGTGAGCAGATGGCAGAGTCAGGACCAGTCAGGGCCGCGGCCCGCCATACAATCTCCAGGTTATCGTTGCCGCCAAGACCAGGTCGATGCTGCGTTGCCTGCTTGCCATGTTCCTCTTCTTCTCGCTGGCTTGCTACACGGGGACGACGCAGCAGACTTGGATCCCTCTCCTCCGGAACGTGGGCGACGTGGGAAATGCGTTTGCCAATCATTGCCCACCGAAACCAGGGATTTTCATCCCCATCACGTCTTTCCCATTCCCTGACCCCGTCCATTTCGAATTTTGTGTCAGAGCTTGAGCTGTTAGTTGGCGCCGCAAAAGTCGCTTGGTTCCGCCACCGTCCTTGGGATTCAACCCATTGCTCTACCCTCCAGCCATGGCGCCAACGCCATTTGTTATCCGCTGGCCAATGGAAAACTTTGGTAACTTAGGGGAGTCGATGAAAGATCTAGCTCGTCTTGAGCCGCGCGACCGGTTTATTTCGGGATCATGCGATTGCATGGAGATGCACAGCATTTGCGCTGGTGTGGCTTTCGGCGGCTGGTACAGCAAACATGTCCCCGTCTGCAATGACGATGTGCATCGTCCCGTTGTTATCGCTCGGCCGATTGAGATTCAGGTCGCTCTCTCTCCTTTGCTCGGTCATTGCGCGGTTCCACGGTGCGACCCCAGGCCTGGGGCCCTGGCAGAAACATCACTCAGGCCGGTCCCTCGCGCAGCCAATCCGGCGACGTCGTCGTGAGTAACCATGAGCTGTTTCCAGAGTACTTCCCTGTAGGAACACTTGCAACTTGGCGTGAGAAATGATCTCAATCATGGGGGGACTCCACCGCCATTTCCCGTTTGGAAGAAGGGGGGTTGCCAGCATTTTCAATGCCAGGGCCCGGGGGATTCCTTATCCAGCTGGTTCGAGCGGGTTCAGAAGCGTACAGAGTGGATATCGTGAATGTCTTCTCTTTTGCAAGATGAGGCCAAGGTGCCAACAAGTAGGCGGTGATGGGCTATGCGAGGGTCTGTGAACATGATGATGTCGACTGCCCCTTGAAATACGGCCTTTGACCCCGATCGTCCTGAAGAAACGGCGCTACCGGCTTCAACACCGCAGCAACCCGATCCAGCGTTGAGAATAGCAATGTTTCGTAACACAGTCGAGAGGCTAGCTTGGACAAACAGTTGACAGCTTTGGTGTCAGAGCGTCAGGGCGACTTTTCGAAGCTGAATCAGGACCTTGAAACGATTGCTCGTCGCTTCTGGACCTTATCGTCACATCGTGCGATTATGCCTTCCGCCTCCACGTTTACTGCAACAGCGGCAGTGGCCTCTCATGAACTATTTGATTTGGTAGTCGGGTTACTGCAAGGACGCCCTTGTTGCGGTTGTTTGGGTGCCATATCTGCGCTGTTTGTAACGAAGTGGGAACGACTTCGTTAAATTAGTCGACGGCAGAGTCGGCGCGCTGGTGGCTGCGCATTGGCCATCCATCCAGACAGTGTCACCTCGAGTTTGCCATTAACGCCGTTCAAATGGCGGCAAATCCGTTGATTCCTGTTTTGTTGTCATGTTCATTTGAAGGTCGTCTGTAGCGCTTGCAGCGATTCGGGATCGGACTGATTTGCGCTTGATCAGAGCTTGCTGACGGCAGCCAAATCACATAATGTCAGCAGAAGGATTGCTCTCAGCCTGCTGAGGGAATGCCTAGCTTAGCCACAAGGGCAAAAACCACAGCCAAAACATTGGGTTTTCTCGTCGAGATCAGGAGGCCTTGATTGACGATGCGGCGTGGTTGAATATCTTTGCACCCCCTCTTTGTGCAGAAAAGGATGAAGTCGCGGCGCTTATCCAGCATTGTACTCGTATCGGACGTATATTGGAGCAACGATGCCAGCGATGCCAGCGATGCCAGCGATGCCAGGTCGGACGGAGGTGCATGCGGGACATGCATGGATGCTTACAGAGTCGTGAGGCGACGATGGACATGAACCCAAGCGAGCGAGTACACGAAGGACGGGAGCCATATTGGTAGTGGAAGGCGCTTATTGCGTGTCGCTTTCCACTTTTGACCACCTCATCTTGCAGTTTTGCCTTGCCAGCTCAGTTGTAGAGCCACCCACTACCTCACTCCCTAAAACCTTGAGCCATCGGCGCCACAGTGATGCCTAGGTAGCGTCCAATAAGGTAACCCGAGAGGCGAGGACGAGCCTGGGCACCTTCCTGCGAGCAGGTACCTAGCTACATTAGGTACCCCGCCCCCGCACAAGATACCTTACTACGGTACCTTAGGTAAGGTCCTCACTCAGCTGAGGAAGGGAGACTCTAGAGCCAAAAGCCTAACATTAATGGTACGTATCCAGAGAGTGCCACTCCTCCAGCCACGACCCTTCGAGTTTCATCTGCGTGGAACCCCCACCGGCCGCCGCTGAACCGCTACCAGGTGCCAGCGAATCATGCCGCACCGCATCGTCTTGCTGGAACGCAGCTACATGTCATCGAGAACCCCCAAGAACCGTCAGTCAGTCACAAGGTACGTAGGTACGTAATGCAAGGCTCCCCACCATGCATATCTCCTTCCATTACAGAGCCTACCACCGCCATTCCTTTCATGTGCATCTCGATAACTCCCAAGTTCATACTGATCGAATCTACCCCCTTAAGCTTCCCAGGAGCTGTCCCTTTTCTCACCTCTCCTCAGAAGCTCTTCCCTACATCCCACCGACTTCGCCCGCATAGAATCATCCCGAATCCAGAACCATGGCGCAGTTGACTGCAACCACTTTCTCTACCGACCCGGCTCTCTGGATCTTCACCTCTTTGACCGCTGGGAATATGCACATCGTCACCGCTACATCCCGTCTCGAGACTATCCTGCGCGCCAACCGAGTCCCCTTCAAAGCCATCGATCTCTCTACCGATGACAAGGCCCGCATGCTTTGGGGTCGCCGTGCCGGCAAAGATGCTTCCGGCCGCCCCAGGAAGCTCCCAGCTCTCGTGCAAGAAGGTCTCGTGCTCGGCGTAAGATATCCCCCTGCCCTCACCTAGGAAACGCCAGGCGACGCCGCCTCCTAACAGCATCCTCTCCATCCAGGACATTGTCGAGATCGAAGAATGGAACGAATACGGCGAGCTAAAGCAGCACGTCAAGATCTACTACGACGAATTTACTATACCAGACATCAACAATAAGCCCAAGGAACCCATCAAGAAGAAAATAATTAAAAAGGTTCCGAAGGGCACGTTGGCAGCGAAAGCCGCCGCCGCTGACTCCTCCTCCGCGCCTGCACCTCCTCCTGCGCCTCCCTTGCCAAAGGACGAGAGCTCAAGTGCCGGAGCAGCTGTCAAAGACAAGCCTGTCACTACACCAAAGTCACCTGTCCAAAGCGCTTCCACCGCTTCACACCAGTCCATCGCCGACGAGGCAGCCAAGAGGGCTAAGGAAATCCGGCTAAAGTCGCTGCGCGAAAAGGTACAGGCAGCCGCAGACAAGAGGGCTGAGAGCGAAGCTGCATCTGTGTCGACTCCGACCGCTGCCGAGCCCGAAAAGAAGGCAGAAACCGTTGCCGAGCCTACCGCTGCCACGCCGGAAACGCCCCGAAAGCCATCCGTGGGAAGCACTGGTAGTGACTCGTCATCACAAAGCGCCAAACCACTGGGCCTACAATCACCGACCACGGGCTCCTGGGGTGCCGCCGCCGCCGCTGCCACCGCAGCCAACCCGGACGCCCTGCGCGAGACGCTTCAGTCGCCGACAACAGCCCGTTGGAAGCCTTCCGATGTTGACAAGCCCGTGACAGTCCACATGGGCGCCGCCGTGGCTTCAGCGTCGGAGGAAGAGATTGCTGCAGTCGAGAGGGCCGAGGCCATCAAGGAGGAGCCCAGTCAGGAGAACTCTGATGAAGACTCCGATGAAAAAGTGTCGCAGAAAAAGATCGCCGAGGTCGAGAAGACGGAGGCTATCAAGGAGGAGCCAGAAAAGGAGGCAGCTGAAGATACTTCCAAGGCTGCTGTGGCGGAGAAGGCAATTGCACCAAAGGAGATCGCGGCGACGGAGAATACCTCAAACCCTGCGAAAGAAGCCAAGACAGCGTCGACTGCGGAAGATGATGACGAAGACGACGATGAAGATGAAGATGATAGCGATGACAGCAGTGAGGATAGCGAAGACGACGAGGATGCAAGTGAATCTGAAACGAAGCCAAAGGGCAATGAGGTGAAGGAGGAGGGTGCTAGGTCGAAAACGGAAGATACGGAACTGAAGACGAAGGAAGTGGCTGAGGCAGAAGCAGTTTCCAAGGCTAAAGAGGCAAAGCCCCAGGGAGACGGGAAGCCTGTGGGAGACGCATAGTCTGGAGGACTCTAGATGGGATGTGGGAACGATGTTGGATGTCGTTGCGGACAAGATGGGTCTCTGAGAGATCTTTTTCGTTGTTGGGGTCGGGGAACTGCAATGTTGACCTCACTCAGACGTCAGCCCTGGGCCCAACTTGTACGCATAGGTTTGTCAAATCAAACGCAGATGTGTTACACTTGCTCACGTCCGATTTAACGCACGACAAGACGTGCATCATGAGGTATATCGAATGGTAATGCTGTAAACTGGTATTTCCACTGCCCACACCCACCTGAACTGAGAAACCCAATTTTGAGGAGAAACTTAGGCGCGCATGTTCGAGACAACCGTGAGCCATCTGGCGGATATTCACCTCGCTGGGTTTACATGGAGCCTTTTTTTTCTTGGTCCCTTTGGTCATCTTATCTGCTTTTTCTTACGACTTGCTTAAGGATCTCCAATTGCGCCTAAGTAATTACAAAGAGCGTAAAGAACAGCAGAGATTTGACATGGTTCCGTGAGACAGGCAGTGGTGTCAGGTCCAAAGTACGACGAGGGTTTCGAATGCTCGCTCGCATCGTGCTCGATCACGCTGCTTTTCGAGCCAAAGGCCATGGGTTGTTTCCACCAGCCTTTTTGCCACTTGATGTCTCGAGGCGGTGGGTACCTTTGGGGGATATCATAATCATGCTCTCAAGGACCATCGGACCTGGGGTTTGCCTTGCGGATGTCCGAGATTCTTGCTTCAAGCGGATGGAGAACCTGCGCTTCGGTCTTTTACAGGTTACATTTTCAATATAGAAAGAATATACTTCCTGAGGAAAACACTAGGACGCCGGCAGCCATCAGCAGCACTCGCAGGTAGAGGGAGGTATATATATATTTATGCCCTTCGGCAGAGTTGCATCACCTCTCGTCTCCAAACTAGAAGCAAGCAAAGTGTGGTGGCGTTCCAAGAGCTGTACTTCGAGTCAACAAAAAGGTAGTAAAATAATACATCCCCAGCAAAAAGCAACGTGCAATCATCAGTCGGGTGAGTAGTGAGTGCACGTACTTTTTACATGGATACGGGGGAAAAAATACCATCCTTGGCGATAATGGCAAGACCTGCATGGCGTGTAGCTCCGCAGACTTGCGTCGGCCAGCACTCGCACAGGACAACATGAAGGGTGGGAGCCTTTCGTATTCGAGTTGATGGCGAGAAGAAGCCATGTGACTTTAGCCAAGTGCTCTGCAAACCTTCTCATGAAAGCCACGGGACGGATGGATGCTTCAAGCTTTCGCCTCGGTCTTCTAGATTATCATGAAGGGAATACATCCCGAGTAATGGAGATCCGTGGAGATTGTTGAGAGGTGAGTAGTGGACGGAACCCAGTCGTGTGACAAAAGATTGACGATCTGATTAATTCGAGAAAGCACGGATGGGTAATCGAGATTCCTTGCAACCCGGCACACCCAGCCTTAGGGTTGGCCGTGAAAAGAGAGGAAGACTGCATCATCTTTATAAAGTCTAAGGCGGATATAGATTCAACTTCTGCAAAGACTCAAAATACCACCGGGACATGTCTCCCCGGTCTGGTCACACGGTGCAAAACAAGACATCTCTAACAAATCACGATGCAATTACAAGTCAGATGATTAGTGTGTGTACTTTTGTATTGATGCGGAAAATCAGCTGGGGCAAAAAACACTTCTTCCATCATGTGTGCGTTCATCTAAACGACAATGTGTTGACGAGAACATTTCCCCGGGAAAACGAGGCTTGCCCACTGCCAGTTGCCCTGTTTCCCCCATTGCCCCGAGCGTACGACACAAAAACCAAAACAATGTCTGGGAGCAAAAAGAACCAGCAATGAGAAATACAATTACAATACAGTCCAGAACCCATAATGCCGCCCCGTAAACGCCTAAAAAGCCAAAGTAGGTTTGAACCGGCCGATTGCCGAGCCAGGTATAATATGCATCGAATGCCTGGGGAAGGGGGAGAGAGATAGAGAGAGAGATGCCGCGACCCGTTCATCATCATCGTCATCGTCGCCGTGTCATGGACATCATGCCGGTCAAAGCCGGCTTGCACCCGTAAACACCATCCCAGTTTGCCGCAATCTCCAAGGTTACCAGAACCCAACGCCAATTCATGCAGAACAACATGGACCGGTCGTGATCATCATCATCATAAGTGGTTAATAAGTCGTCGGTCCGAGTCTCGTGGTCCAAAGTGAAGACTCAAGATCGAGGGCCAGGCTGGATGGCTCTGCGTGACACCTAGGCGCCAGAGACCTTACGGGCCGTCGATGCTGCCGTGGCTGACGTTGCAGAGGTACCTACGCTGCCAACACGGCCGCTCGTCTTGCGTACTCCATCCTTGGACCTCGGTGACTCACCCGATCGCTTACTGCCACGAACCTTGGTGAGAATGCCGGATGCGCTGCTGACTCTATCCACTTGCTTGACGCGTGATGTTCCGAGATTTTCAACGTCATTGCTGGCGTCGTTATCAATGTACGTCTGATACACAGCAGCGGCCGAGTGGCTAACTGAGCGCTTTTCACTGCGACCAGGCGATGCGGAAGGCTTCCGATGCGAGCGCATGCGGAGGAGCACTTCTTCATCCGACTCGGCGCTGTGGGAATGTTTGTGGACTGTAATGACCTCGGCGTCGTGGTGTATGCCTGTTTCCTCTTCGACTGTTGCGGTGTACGAAGTTGATCTTTGGTATGGGTGATGACGGTCTGCCCTATTGGTCTTCCTTGGCTGACCGGGTGTCGGCGCCGGGAGGTAGTCTTCCTGAACCCCAATGTTATTGCGGTCGTGGTCGACTTCGCTCAGCGGCGTTCGGTTCGAGGTGCTGCGGTGCGGGGGCGTGGATGCTTGACCGGCACGAATCGAGGTCTTTTGCATGGCACGAATCGGGGTGCTGGGAACAGCAGCGTTGGCGGCCATCTCCTTGCGAAGCTTGCGCTCAATGCGCTCCTCGATCCACCACTCACGGAAGATGCCCTGGTTGATGTGAAGCCAATGCTGCTGGGGACCGACGACCATACCGGGGCGCATGAAGCGCATGAAGGCAATGATCTCGTTAGCTGTGAAGCCGTGACGGTAGATGAGGTATGCGCCGATGAGGCAGCCTGTTCTTCCGAGGCCTGCTTTGCAATGGACAGCGATGCCCTTCTTCTTGACGGTGATGGTCTCGTGCGCCAGCCTGATGAACTTGCGGACAGTGGTGAGAGGCGGGCAGGTGCCGTCGTCGAAGATCATGTCAAGGTGAGAGATGCCCATTGACTCGAAGAAGGACGGGGAGTACAGAGGCGAGTTGAGACGAACGACGAGGCCGATGTTCCTCTCGGTGAAGTGCTTGAGGACGTTCTTGAAAGGCTGGGGAAGCGTCTTGTTGGCATCCAGCTGTCCGAGCGACTTGGGGAGCGCATCAAACTCCTCGGTGCCTTCGAGGACTTTGGCAACCGGTGTGTGTTGGGGCGAGGCAAAGGCCAGGAAGTGTGGCGTGATCCAGTTGAAGTCTCCGTGCTCCACTCTCTCATACTTCTCGTACTCATCGAGGTCAAAGTTATCCAGGGCGCAGCAGCCCTCCTCTTTGGCCTTCCAGACGCCATATACGACGTCCTGGACGGTGATTCCATAGTCGGCCTGACTGTATCCAGCATCACGGAAGGGCATCAGAGGTGGGTCGACTTGGGCGATGGGCGCCAGGGCCAGGTGCGGGGGCCAGTTCTGGATGAGCACCATGTAGCAGGCGAGCATGCAAGCAGCGTTGGCGCGACCTTGAAGACTGTTAGCTGAACGATTTTCACGACGACGAAGGCCATTTCTCATTGCGACTCACTTCTGGGGTCGGCTCTGCTCCAGAAGACGATTGGGCGATCCTTGTTCTCCTTGGCACCGAGTACGTCATGGAACTGCAGGGCGAAGCGGTACAGATGGCCAATATGGAGCGGGCCGAAGTCGTGGTGAAAGGCGTTGTACAGGAGTGCGTCGTCGACAGTGAAATAGTAAGGCGTTTGGCGGGCGGAGGTCTGAACGGGCGTAGGGCCCTCGGCGGCTCTCTGTGATCGCTTTCTAGGTGAAGACTGGGCAGTCTCGCCGTAGGGGAATATGGTTTCGGCCGTGGGAGGGTGGATATAAGCGGCCAGGTACAGCCGATCTGGAAGCCAAGTCAGAAGGGAGACGGGAAAGAAGGCGCAAAAGAGATAGGGATGAAGCTGTGGCAAGGCATAGTTGTAGCTGTTGCATGTTGGGCTCACGTCGGCTTGCGACGACCGAAGTAACAGAGACGGCGCACAATAAGGATGCGACATGATTGCGATGCTGGGGCGGGCAATGCAGGATTGGGAGTTGTTGGGCACGCGAATACACACCTGGGATGTACTCAATGACCTGGCCCATATTGGGGCTCTTGGACGAAGGCGCCATTGGATTCGCAAGTCTCTATTTCCTCTGAAGCTATATCGGGGGACTTGGAGGAGGCAGTTGCTTTCGGCGCCGGAAGTAGAGATGCAATTAAGGAGCCTGGGGGTCGAATGAACAAGGCAGGTGCCGAGCGGAGATTGTCCAGAGGCGAGGCTACTCCTTTGTATGCAAAGTAATGCGCGCGCAAGAGAACTCGGGAAGGCGGTCCCTGTGGAAGTATCGAGCAGCAATGGGTGCGGGTTGGTGAGCGGGTGGGCAAGAATGTTGAAATGGCTGGTCTGAAACAATAACAACAACAAGCGGCAGTAGCTACACCTTTTGGGTCGGGGGGTTTGGATGTTTGGTCTGGGTAGAACTGGACCAAAAAAGCTGCGACACCCTGCGGGAAGAGAAGGAAGCGCAAGCACAGCAACCCGACTCAAGGGAGATGCGAAAAGGGCGGACAAGACAATCGAGAGGTCTATTGAGGATGAGGTAAAAGGAAGGTATTGCGAGGCGCAAAGGAGACCGAGTGACGGTGTTTTTGTATGGTTTGCTGTGTGTTTTGCTCAAGCGGTCAATATGGGGCCGGCCCAAAACAGCAAGGGTCGGTTGTTGTTCCCTTAGCCTTGTGTGCCCCCCTGCACCGCACTGCTGTGTGTGTCTGGTCCAGTGTTGTGCTGGCTGCCGGGCTGCCAGGTCCGTTGTCAAGACAACCTGCCAGGGGAAGCACTGACCAAGGGCGCCTCCTGACGGATTGATCGAACCGTCCCATTGGCTCACAACGCCTCAGGCAAACGCACCCGCCTCAGATCCCGCTTGGCTACCAGGGAGCTACCACGACATCGACAGTCTTTCCTCACTAACTAGACCCTTTGGAGCGTCTGACGGCTGTTGACCACCGCCCCATGCGCAAAAAAGCCCCCTTATCTTCTCCAGATTGTATCGGATTATTCCAACAACGACAACAACCAAGGCAAGGCAGGTACAGATACCGTCTCCGCATGAGCTGGTTCTAGGCTTTCCAGGTTGCTTATCGGGCGGCACTGCATCGATCATCAGACACATCTGCGTTGCGCCAGGGCAACCCCACGTTGCGCATCACTGTCTGTGGACTCTTAACAGTGGAATCTGGACAAGGGAAAACACATTATCCATCCCTCCGAATGGAACCAATAGAATATGCGCAAGTGAACAAGTCACCTTGGGGACGGCCCGAGAGCCCTGTGCGCTCGTTGCGTTGCTTGATTCTGTGCGGGTGTCACACACAACCTTCTGGTGCCGCCATGGAAACAAGCCCGTGTGATGGCGGGGCACTTACACTAGGTGCCTAGGCAAATAGGTAGGTAAGCCGCTTATTGTGTGGTTTGTGTAAGCCAAGGTACGTTACTTCGCCAGTAGGATATTTGCCAGTGCCTGCCGGAAAGGAATTTCTTGCGCCGCCAATGACGACTTTACCTTCTCTTGCTCATACTTCCGAAAGGAAAGATTTCCCTTTTCCCCGCAGGGCCGCCGCAACAGCGCAACAGCGACTTACGCATTCCCTAATTCACCCCTCCTCTACATTTCACATCAACCGCAAAACGCCGCCGCCGTCGCCCAAATCTCCAACCATGGCCGTCCACAAAACCATTGACGACGAATTCCCCTGCTCGCTGTGAGTTGTCGCATACAACACCTCCCCCCTCCCCCCTCTTCCGCATGGGCCTCCTCTTCTCCTCGTATCCGCGAGTAAAACAAAGGGAAAATAAAAGGCTGAGACAACGAGCCAATAGAACAATCAACGTCCCCTTCCCGACCCCGCGCCTAGCCTCCGTCGCACATAAGGCCCTCGCTGTCGACCAGGAGCTCTCACCCCTCGTCAGGCGCACCTTTTCCATCGATGGCGACGCATCATCATCCTCCTCCTCCTCCTCTCCGGGCACCGTCGACGCCGACGCCGCCTCTGTCCTTCGCGTACACTACAAGGCCACCACGAATCGCATGCTCCGCGTCGCCGTCAACGGCCTCATGGAGAGCCTCAACCTTGTCGTTGAGGTTATGGAGGAGCTGGACGTCGATGTCCTGGAACACAACCGAGATTCATCGCAATGAGAAGTCAAGAATTGGGACCGAGGGACTATGGGCATTGCTGCATATGTCAAAAGAAGCAAGACAGACAAAAAGAAGGAAGGAAAGAAAAAGGCCAAGAACAATAATCTTGGGAAGGAGGGAAAGCGCGCATGCAAGGCACCTCACGTGCGAAGGGAACAGGAGACGGAGAACGATGCATCATGATTTCATTTTACATTTTGTGATACCCTAGAATATACAGCCACATGACATGTGACATGATCAGCGGGTGCCGATGCTCTCTATCAAGCCCGAGTCTAGATTTGCTTTCCAGATTCTCTGAGCCGAATAGCCTTCGCTTGCGCCAGCAATGAGCCCTGAGTGTGGCCAGATGCAAAAAAGGCACGAGAATATGCTTCCTAACAAATATACAGTTCCAGATATTCCTCTATGCCCTCCCTTGGATTACTTCGTATATCATGCCTCGCTCCGGTCTCTCGACTACCTTTCTAGCCCATTAGGCCCGTCATTAGATATGCGCCCAAATCAGCCCTCAACCGTCTCCTTCTGATCCAGAGATTTTTCCTTGAGCTCCAACTTCTTCTCCGCCTCCTCGGCTCTCTTGTTGGCATCGGCAACTTCCTGCTTGAGCTGCTTGATGTACTCGATGGCCAGCTCAACGGTACTGGCCTTGCTGTTCGGTGCCCCTCCGGCCTTGGCCTCTTTTTCCCTCTCCTTACGTTCTTCGCTTTCACTCTTGGACTCCTTTGGCGGCTGTGGCAACAGCGTCGCAATCTCCTGCAATGCCGAGTTGATTCGGTTTCGTCGGCCCTGTTCCGCAATCTTGTGGGACGTGCGTTTTGATGTGAGGTTCGTTGACAGCTCGCTGGGATATGTCACACCGGGCACGGTATTGCCTTCGAGGATGTTCTGGTAGTTAGACTTTGACATCAACAGACGAGATGCCGTGTCTTCGGCGGACATGCCGGGCGTTCCAGGCAAGAGCGGCTTGATGCTAGGGGAAATCCTCGGCCGCAACGCAGGCGACACGTGCACCGAACTCACGCTTCCCCTCTTGCTCTGACTACCTCTGGCCAACAGCTTTGGCGTTTTCCTCGCCGATGGACCTGAAGATCCGGGAGCAAGGTTCGGGCTTGCGCTTGCCGAAGCCGCAACGATGGGTTTGGCAAATACAGGCGACGGGAGCGGTTGGAAGGACGAACCCATCATCGCACCAGGATCCGAAGGCGACTGTGTTGGCGTTGCCGTGTCCAGTCTTGGGGGCTTCGCTTTCGAAGAAAAGTTCACCGACTCGGGTAATTCGAATGATTCGATGTGGTCTGATGGGCCTAGATCGAGAGGGTTTGACGAGGCGGAGTTATTCGCACTAGAAGCGGGCAGCTTCATGAGAGAGGCCGGGGTGGCGGGAGACGGCTTCCCCTGGACGTGGGCCGGCATCGCAGGATGAGGCTGAGGTTGAGGCTGAGGTTGTATGAAGGGTGATTTGCTCGATTGCTTCTGTTGCGGAAGGGGCGGCGGCGGCATGTCTGACAGGTTCTCAGGCGACACCGACGCATTTTCAGACTCCTCGCTGCTCATCGGGGCTGGCAGCGCAGTCGAGGGAAGCATCTGATCCAACCCATCCTCATTCACTTCCCGCATCTCAGAGAGAGCCTGCGAGACCATCTTTGGCGTGGGCGTTGCCTTTCTGCGCTGCGGTTTCGAAATTGGCGACTGTCGTACACTGGCCTTGGCCTTTGCCCTTGATGCATTGGTTTTGCGAGCCTTCTTTGATAAGTCTACCACCGGCAGTTGCGTGGTTGTCGTCTCAATGTCCATCTCGGCTGGTGAGTTGTGGGCTGAGAGGGACGATCTACGATCGTACAGGAGTCCTTGATCGCTTTGCGCGTGCAATGCTGGTGATGTGAGAGGGCTGAAGTATGCGCCTGGGATGGTAAACCCGCCGGCTTCCATCTGGAAATGAGGGTCTAACGGTGTCACTGCCGGAGAGACTAACGGGGTGAAAGCCATCTAGAACAGTCAACCAAAGGTTCTCGTTGCGCTGCAAGGGGAATCAACTCTTACGTCTTGCTGCTCCTTCATCCTTTGATACCTGTTGCCAAACATGGGTGTCTGGCTCTGGTCTGTTGAGTAGAACTGATTGCTGGCGGGCGGCATTTCGAGACTTTGGGGTGTCGGGGGAACAGCATGCGTCTGGCTCGCATAGTATGCGACCTGTTGTTCTTGTATCTGGCGATGTTGCTGCTGCATCCTTTGCTGCTGCAGGTACTGTATCTGCGCGTCGATCTCCGTGATGGCATCGGTTGATGCCGACGGGGGGATCATTTGAGTCTGAATGGCGGGATGCGCGCCGGCCGTCGTCATGTTGATCAGCTGCGCTTGCATGGCCGAGGCGGCATTTCCCATTATCATGGAGGTGTCGGTTCCTCCCATCTGGGTGTCGAGCTGCTCGCGGCCGGACTGGTGCATGATGCCAGGCCCATTGCCCGTCTGGTAGTCGTTGAAGTCGAACGGCATCGCATCGCTGAGATTCCCCATTCCACCCAAGTCCAAGAATTGCTGGAACTCCTCATCGTGATTTGGCGCCAAGGCCGAATCCTGGGGGTTCCATGAGGCGGCGTCCATCATGGCTACACTGAACACCGCGGCTCCGGGTCGGAGAATTCAAAGCCCGAAATGTAAATGGCGCTGTTGTCGGTACACCGTCGAGTCTCGTTGAAGTTTCCTTTTGCACGATTCGTTTCGCCAAAGCCAGATCAATGACCTCGATTAGCGTGATTGCAGGTCGATAGAGACAGTCGTTTGAGTAAATCGAGGGCGAGGTCGGTCAGAGGGCTCGATAGGTTGCGCATAAGGCAAGGTATGGAACCTAAAGGCACCGGAAGGCTTGTCGTGGGGTTATGTTCGAGGTGCGTGGGGAACACGGGGCGAAAATGTGTCGGGCGCAAAGTATAGAGCGCAGTGCCTCGCGCCGAATAATTTCGGTGGAAAACTTCGCTCTCTCACTGCCAAGAAAAGTCGATTTTTTGAGTAGTTTGAGAATGAATGATGGACGAGGTCGAGAAAAGGTGGTGGAAACAGGAAAACCTGCCTCTCTCGGTGGAGAGAGAGGCTGGAGAGGACGAGCCGACGGCGAGGAACCCAGAGGCAGTGGCAGCGGCAGCGGCACCGAGCGAGCAGGTGATAGTGGGGGGAGACACACCTAGAGAAGGAGGTGGGACGGGGTGCATTCAGATGGACTGCCATTGGCAGCCGGTGAGTGGTTGATGAGCCTGTGGACACATTTTTTTTTGCGCAGACGGGCGGATCCAAGCTTTGGGACCTCAAATACCTGCCAGGACATGGATGTCAAGTGAACTGGCCCGTGCCCAGCACATTCTAGCCCCCAAGGACTCCCCGGTACAGCGGGCTTTATTTTTATTTTTTTTGGTGGTTGTTGGTGAGGAAGATAGATTGGTCGTACCGACCGAGACGCGATTAAATTGGGAAATCGAGAATATACCAAATACTCTGCCCAGTACTCCGTACGGGTATAGTATACCTGACCAAGGACCCTGTCTGAAGCACCTTGCCGACGGGAACATGTCTCGTTGGCGGATGCTGTACCTACCAGTAGCGACTCCCGCTAGCATCTGCAGATCTCGGATCGTCAGCAGGTGAGGTGGGATGCGGTCACAGGACGAACCTGAGCATCCCCTCTGGTGATTCTCGCTGGCACGAATGCCAGATATGGCAGCAAGGATCCTTTGTGCTGAAGCCGCATTCGATGATTGTTTGATACGAAACGACTGCCCAGCACGGTTTCATGTCCGATCTCTCACCGTCCGGGAATATCCACCTTCGCTTCAAGCATTTCCTTGCCTCTGAACACTCCCATCTCTCCGAAGACAACGCAACAACACGAGGTAATTAATTAGGCAGTGAGCTTTTGGACCAAGTTCGAGTTGCCTGCCCTAGGGGTTCTCTCGTCTGTGCTCAACCCGACCCTGTCCAACCTTCTCCACAAGACAAGAAACCTCCTCTTTTCTCCCAAGTTTCAACTGACAGCAGGTATCTGTACACCATTTTCAGATAGCCCATATGGGACTTGAAATGATTGACGGGGACACCGCGACCTCGCGACCTGCCTGCAATGGCTGGTATACCTCCCCGAATATCGCACTCACCGGAGAGTTCAATAATTAAGACGGGACGAGGCGAGAAATTTTCTCACACGATGTCTTTTTACGGACAAGCGCTCCGATCACACCGAGGTCTTAAGCCAGCAAGATTAACTTAAAGTGGATCTGGTCCCCTGTCGGTAACGGCGCCGGCGCCGCGCCACCCAAGTTGGTCGCAAGCGAACTCAAGCTTTAACCGCTCCAAGCCCGGCTTCTCGCTGTTGCTTCCATACTAAGGAACCTTGAATACCAGGTGAGGTACTCCGTAAGGTAGGTAAGCTTCCCAGCCGCCTATAAGATACAACCCGCAGCCAAGCTCGTCATGGCAGACGTCAAAAAGGGAGGTAGGCAGGCCGCAGAGTGGCTCTCGCCGGCGGGCGGCCACTCGGGGGTTTATTTCGGGTCTCCGCCTCGATGCTGACACGTACTGCAGCGCGATTCTTATTATACAGCCCGAAATCGGTGCTGCACTGCCTGCAAGTCATGAGTGATGACTATGTACAATGTAAGGGTACCAGAAAACGGGGTCAGGCGAATGATGCAACCTGTAGTCTTTGATTTAATTAGGATGACAGGTATTTGGGTACTGCGGACTAGGGACTGCCGTTGGGCTCTGGGGGTCCATTGAGATTCATGAAAAAGAACCTCACCATCAAGGAATGCCCTTGTTGCCACTTTTGGCACTCACACGAGTTGCTCACGTTACCGAGTGACGACCGGAGTTCCCCCCCCTCTCAACCTATGGCCGCCCCTCTCGAATAAAGAGCCTGTTATCTTTCTATCCCAACGGCAATGTGGCATATGACACTCTGACATAAGTGCCATAGGGTAACCCTACGTTGCATTACCTTGTACATCCACTCACCTTGGTTGAGTGGTTTATGAGCGATGGTTTCGCCCGGAGACTGACCGTGGCCATACGGTATGCCTCGCAGGTGAAGTTCCTTAGGTACCTTGAACGGAAGTTCTAGAACACCGCCGTCAATGTGCCTGCCTCCGACCTGGTGGGGGTTGAAGGGCGGGGGCCGAAGGTGCAGATTCCCGACTGCAACCATGATTATGTCAGCTGCATCAGTGCTCCGCTGCACCTGCACCTGCACTTGCACTTACTACGTACACTTACACTGACACATCCCCGGGATGACATGCCGCCGCCTTCGTTTCTGATATCAAAACCTTTCACTCATCGTCGCTTCCCAGCGATTGTCTTGGATATTCGGACCTGTCACTTGCGTCATCAACCAGGGAGGGGACCTAGGTTTATACGTAGTTTCCCATCAATCTCACACGTACATGTCTGCGCTCTCAAGTCTAGGACCCCTGCACGAAGCTTCCCAAGCCTCTCTTCGGCGTAAGAATCAACTTGCAATGCCACTAACGCTCTATAACTGCATCGCTTGCATTTTGGCTCTGCCTTGCCATAAGGCGGCTTGAGCCACTGCCAAATTCCCATTTGATCATCAAGGCATCATTTCATTCCCTGCGTCTCTCGTCCGTCATCTTCATTCATCTGCCTCCACCCAAGCAATCATTTCAACGTCATCGACACCTTTCTTATTCACCGTTAGAGGCAAACACGCCGATCTCGAACTATGCCTTGTCATCCTACACCCGGCACTCCTTGTTGGCGGTGCTGCCTTTCATCATGCTGATTAAGGCTCTCGACAGCGAGCAAGCCGGCTGCAATCGTTTGGTTGAAAGTCCTCAAGCCCATTTCCCATAATTTGAGTGCAACTTAATCGACCAGACAACTTAGTGCAAAGGTCACACACTTCAGCCTCCGCCTTTTGTGTGGGACTAGTATTGACACATCCGGATAGCTCCTCAGCAGCTCCCTCGGTCACAACTGTGCTGCGATTATGGGCATCCACCTCAGCCATGTTTGACTTCTTTACCTCCGGAAGGCCGGACTTACACTCATCCAGCTGCTGGTCAGCGAAAATTCCCACGACTCCCTTGATGGGATAGTGGATCGCCTCATTGCGGCTGAAATCAGCCCTTTTGTTCGAAATTTATTTTTCGTACCAAGCCTGTCCGCAACGATCATACAGCCATGTCGGACGTCGGCCTTCCTGAATCGCCGTGTGGGATATGCGCGCTCTGTTGCAAAGAATTTTGCGGGGAGAAGACGGACCCGGGCCACGCTCGTCTAGCCGAAGTCACCATCCGCATCCCCCTCTTACTAATAGGCCAATCAATGACCTACACTAATTCTCTACTCAGAATCACAACAGGGTCTCGAGGCCGTTGACTATCGCTGCGCTTAGGCTTTAAACTCCCCCAAACAGCAATGCCAGCAGATTAACCCTTTGCTCCCGGCTCTCCTGCGTGGTGCAATAGCTGACTAACATGAATCCAAGTCAATATGCGAACTAGGCCGTTGACGAACCTGATTATCGGGTCTGCTGGTAACGTGGCTGACCGGTGGCGTTCCTACCATTTGAGCCACACTACTACGTTGGTCGCTGCTGTGATGTGATCAGTCGGCGAGACATTTGCGTTTTCAATGCCTGGCCAGGCCTAGGCCGGGCGAAACAATGAACGCAGGGCTTGCCATAACAGAATTTGCGCCCGCCAGGCATGGTCAGTCCGTCATCTGGTGCCCAAGAGGTGACGAGGAACGCGGAGGCCACTACTGCAGTGCGGCATTGGCGGGTGGGCGGACAAGCCCTTTCGACGGTAACTTGAAGTGGACAACCTCATATGGCGGAGTCGGACCTGATTCCGCCTCAAATATTGGGAGGGGAAGCAATTCGGCTATGCTCGCTTATCTCGGCGAACACTTAAAAGAACTTCCACAGACGGCGATTCAGTCCTGGGTAGCGTCGCCGTTGCGAGTCCGAACGACCGAATCAGTCCTGTCTGAGTCGTCCCCCTGAAAGGTCTTCGATGTTACCATTGAGGGGAGGAGGAATTGAGGAAGCTGCCGACCCGTTGATGTCGGTGCTTTGTAGTGTTGGCGCTAAGATTCACCAGCGATAGCCGACGATCTCCATCCGGATGCGGCGAGATGCTCATGATCAGCCTCTATCAGCATTGGGTGTGCTTCTCTTCGCCGACTGTTACAGCATGGTCAGTGCAAAACCGTCGATATCGGGAGGACGCCCGTCCGCCATTGGAGATTGCCTCATTGGAGCTGCGATGTGGCTTTTGCCTTCGTCGTTGGCTCAAAGCCATCTTTGTGACAGACCGGCCATAGTTGGTGCGTAATTGTGGGTTGTTCTAGGCCTCTCTCTACCATGCTCCCCCTTCGAGAGCCGGATGCGGTCCAGTGGCTATCGGGACTGGAATGCTTCATCGTTCCGACACACTATCACACCGGCGATATAGTCGCGAGTGAACCCCTCCCTGCGTAACCTTGCTTATGCCCTCAATTCTGATGAAGACCTGGAAATTGATTCATCGAGCACGAAGAATTGGGGGTTGGAAAAGGTATCAACATCATCGAATTGTCGGCCCTAACGT